CTTCTGTGCAAGCTGGAAACTTTTTGGACCCCATCCAAAGATTTTTGCAAACCACAAGGACCAAATTTGCAGTTTTGTCGGAAAAAAAAATTGGGATACCCCTTTGCTTTGAGCCTAGCTCCGCCACTGGCATGTGCCCCACTCTTTTCTACTTGCATCCGCCCCTGTCTTGTAGAGTGTTCTTCGTTCTTTATTTATAGCCGATATTGAGCGGCCATGCCCTCTTCCTACACCGAGCAAGTCTGCCATCATGTCGCATTAATGGTCGTACCCCCGAAGGTACACTCGTGTGTACTCGTTAGTTGTTTTTATAGTTGTGGTTCGTTGGTTTGAGGACCCATCAGTCAAACATCCTTATACAGACTGTTTTTTGTGAATTCATATGTACTGTTACACTGTTGTTATGTATTCTCGTACTTTTTTCGTTATTTTATATGGTTTGACATATGATTGATTCGGTATATGCCTGGTCCGGTATATATTTTTTCGTTATTTTATATGGTTTGACATATGATTGATTCGGTATATGTCTGGTCCGATATTAGGGGTGAACATGGTTCAGTTTGGTTCGGTTTTACGCTAAAACCAAAACCGAACCGTTGGTTTTTTTCGATTTTGGTTATATATTTCGGTTTTTTAGTAAATAAATTATTAGACTCGGCTCATTGGATTTTAAAAGCCCATACTTATTTAATATGTACTCTAATACATATATACAATATGTCTCATCCATTTAAACAAAAAAGAAATTACTGTAAAATAAAAAAAGATGGTGCCTATTTTTTTTATGCGTTTTCATTCACGAATAATTATTATAGGATGGTTGAGTTAATTATTTTCCTTCATTTTATAGTATCAAAAAAATCTTCACTTTTGAATCTTACAATGAACATGAGATGTATGTGATTTGAATCTTTTTATACTTTTAATCATCTAACCTCTCTTATTATATAGGTGTTTCACCTAAACCATAGAATATTCATTTTTATTATTTTATGAATTACTTTATTAATGATGTGATATTTATATATAAAACGTTGTTATTTTGTGTATTTCGGTTCGGTTCGGTTTCTAAATATAGAAAAACCAAACCGAACCTAAAGAAATCAGTTTTTCTAAAAACAAAAACCAAACCATCGATTTTCAAATGGTTCAATTTTTTCAGTTTCGGTTTTTTTCGGTTTTTGGTTTGGTTTTGGTTTTTTTTTGCACACCCCTATACCAGATTCGGTACATGGCTGGTCCGGTATATACCCGGTTCGGTATGTAAGGAGGATATACATAGATCGAGTTAGGTTATATCCTATTAGGAACAATCAAAATTTCGAAAATCAGGATCGACATGGTCGTGTGGTCAACGTTATCTGAATTTAAATCAACAATGTACGAAGGTCAACAACACTTTAGTTGTAAACATAGACTCCAATTTGTACATTCAACATCCATCAAACAAAAGAATTGATACAACAATAACATCGTATTTTTTTTATTAATTTTTTATTTTTTTAAATATTGTCCAACTCATTTAAAGCATAAATTATTGTGAATAACGAAAAACCTACTTTGTACAAATCATCTCCTATCAAATAATTCTAAGATATGGTGAGTAGTGAGAGAAAATGAGAAATTAGTAAATGAAGCTCAAGAAAAAAAGTTTCATTTTCCAGTTACTTTATATAAAATCCAAAACGACATTTCACTAAATCATGCTTATAAGGACTTTTTTGAGTTCCTGTTGATCTATGTTTATTTCGTTTCCCAAATCACGCGTTTTGTGGGTTATTTCCAACTTTCAACCCACCAGCACTATTATTATGGGTCGAAAGTCGAAACGTTTATACTAAAAGCTAAACTTCTGATTTATATATTTCTTAATAGTATAATATGTTTAAGCCAAAGGTTCGTTAAAGATGCTTGCATGTTGATTATTGCAAAAAGAACGAAGAATAATGTTATGGTCTAATTTTTTTTTATTTTAAATCGAAATATTTTGGTGTTTTTTTGTGATCATTAGTATTCGAATTGGTTCAAGAAGACAAAGAAGTGAAGAAAGGTACAATGGGCTAGACCGCTAGAGGCATTATTAGTATTCGTCTTGTTCAAAATCTTTGGGTTGGGCTACGGTTGGGTCGTACTTTGTAGTTGCCGAACACAAAAAAGTTGAAAACTGATAATTGATCTTAAGTATTGATTAAAAAAAAAAAAAGACAAATTTACATGTTTCGCCTCTAAAGTTTATGTCTTATTATACTATTTCATCCAACTATTGAAAATGTTGCAAACTTAGTTCGTAGTCCAAACTAAATTAGCAATGTTGGCCCTTGGAACTTAACGTTGTCTCCTTCCCGTATCTATCTCATTTTAGTCTTTTTACCACTCTCTTCCATTTAGTTCATATTAGAAGAAGGGATTAGTGGATTTCATTTCTCCTTTTTGTTCGAACGGTAAAACCTCCCTCTTCATGATGGCGTTTTTTGCATGCAACCATGGACGATGATTCCCTTGGTAACTGATAAGGATTGTGAAGTACCCCTCGTACAGGCTAGTTGAAATTGGATAATCTTTTCAAAAATATTTACTTTTTGAAATAACATTGCAGAATGTCCCAAAAACTCATAAAAACGGTTTCAGTTTAAAAGTTAATAGTTCCAGGTACGAGGGTGTCCATTTATATATTATTACATAAGTTTAGTGAACCATAACAAGCTATAGTTTTCTAAATGTCCAACCTTGCTACACAATGCCTTCAACTTCATCTACGAGTATTCGTCAAAATAATAGGTTAAACTTGGAGAGCCTGGTAAATGATACCAAAATCGGGCTATGGAATGTGTGACATCCCCAAATTCACGGTCATTTTAAAAATTTTATTTATGCTTATTTAAAAATCAGAGTATCCATTTTAAAAAGTAGTATTGCGGAATTTGTACCCAGAAAAAAAAACATGATAATAATATTATCAAACCATTTCCGAAGAAATGTATTTTGTTTATATTAAAACTTTGGGAAGACATTGTCAATACAAAAACAATAAGCATAAACAGACCTTATATTCATTTACACTAATGATTTGCATCTCCTTTAATTTCTCAGTGTAAGGTGTCTTCGTATCGATACCTGTGATACAAATAAACTGAGTGGGTCAGGTTGGGAAACCTGGTGAGTACATAGGGTTTTCAACCCACAATAATAAAGTTATTATGTTTAATCATCAAAAATTAACTCAATTACCCATCCTCATTATCTTCTTTATTCTTAAGTATCTTCCCTAAGAATCATCTATTCCTCAATATTTATTCCTAAGGATTATCCTAAGGAATATGCACGAAGTCCATCGCTGCCAGGGTTTATATAACAGACACTAAGTCCATAGTTGCCGATGTTATCTGTTAGGCACTAAGTTCATAGCTTCCAATGTTCATCAATAGGGCACTACATCCATAGCTGCTAATGTTTATTTGTAAGGCACTAAGTCCACATCTGTCAACGTTAATTTGTAAGGCACTAAGTCCATAGCTGCCGGGATTTTTAGAGTACATCTGCTGAACATATCGTTCACAACACCTACAGGTTGCGAGCTTGCTAGCGTTCCACTGGACTGTCTAGAATAGTATGTGGTTGTCATCTATACTCTGCTAGATGACTGGGCCATCACTTGGGTCAAGGCTTCTCATCATCTTTCACCTCTCATCATCTATATCATCTTTCATCTCTCATCATTCATCTCATCTTTCATCTTCCCATCTTTACCCAATAAGTATAAAATACATATACAGTTTAAATAAAGTAAAACGTGTATATTTTGTTCATCCAACATAGATATCAAGAACACAGATAATATGCACATATAGCACATAATTTATATTAATTACTTCGTATCTATGTGTAAGATGAAATTAACTATGCACTCACTTGTTAAAGTGATGACTCGAAACTCGGACAACGTTTCGCTTCTTACAATCGTCTTTTCCTTCGACGAAACCTAACATTATTATTGCTAAGTTTTAGTCTAATATTTATTGCGACTAATTAACTCAAGGTCTATGAGCGATATTGTTTTATAAGTGTAAACAATACTTTTCAACTACTATGTACAGACATGAGCTAGACATGAAACACCGGAGGGCAGGACCATTTTGGCATTTAAGTTGTTCTGAAATCCAACAACCCTATACGACCCTTCAAACCAGATTCCCCGGACCGCGAGTAGTTAAAAGGTATTATAATAACACTTTTTATAATTTATACTTAGCACATATATTGCTTATAGGTTCATAATAACGATAATGAACTTAAATATAAGTTATACTTAAAGAAGGGTAAGCATAACTCACTTACAATGGAGTTTAGCGAAGAACCGGGCTCTGCGCGGGCAGAAGTTCTGAGCCGAAAGCTCTTCTTCTCGGAGCCTTCTGGCGCTCCGGGACTTGCCTCTAACACTTGGGAAGTTCTAGGGAATGGGAGGGGTTAGGAGAAGTAATTGAG